CTAACAGTATCGAATGCTCTTTATATGTAAAAGGAAATTGAAGAGACGTGATACTCTTTTTTGTTGCTAGTCAGGTAATTCAGAAGCTGATGCAATGCGTCTTCAATTGATCTTCCAAAGACGAATCTGTTGTAATTGTTATTACCTTCTTCTCTTGCCATTCTCTGCCTATTCTGTTCTTGTGACATTTAAATCTATATCAGTATCACTCAAGAACTGAATGTCCGGTTCATTCGAATCGCCATCGAAACCTTCCTTAACGTTTTCCGATTAATATTTTAGAATTTTACTTTTATATTTTTACATATACTACTTCATTTATTGCCTCGATTTCTTCACAATCAGATAAATCTTCGATTTCTATATTAGAAAGAATCTTTCTCCATCATCGAACCAATGTCATTGGCTATACTTTCGACCAAGCTTTTGCTACTCCATACCATGCCATCCAATCCAAAGCAGTGGACGTTTTCGAGAGCTTCCTTTAATCATCATCTTCCTCAGGAAGAGTCATGAAAAGAAACCTAAAGACTAAGCTAACTAAACCTAAAGATGCAACTCAGAGTTTTTGACAGCATACTAGGATTTGCGCGTGTTTGTTTCTTTACACTCTTCACACATAGCGTTGAGTGTGCTAGCGGGGACACCGAAATGCTCGGATTATCCGCAAACCGTATAATCTGAACTGGATAACCGGAATACACTGTAAGTATTTTACTGTGGATTACACAAAAGAAGCTTTTTGAATTTTACTAGAAATTTCTATGTTACACAAAATAGTCTTGGAAGGAAATACGTATTAATAAATTAATACATATTAATAAATACGTATTAATTTATTAATATTTTTTAAATAATATTATTAATTATTAATACGTATTATTTAATTAGAAAAAGGGAGGAAAGGTGATATAAACTGCAATTAGTTTAAATAATATTTGGCAGCAGGGAAGTTAGTCCTTAACTAATATTCTCTCATCACACCGTCGCAAAAACTTTGAAGTGAAAGCGTACTTAAAAAATTAATTAAAGTTTATTATACGTATAGCATTTTATTCGAAACATGGTTATCCATTTTATTTGAATTTCCAATGACACATAGTTTATGCCATTTCACTCCCAGAATCCCTTATTTGAGTTTTAGATTCTTATAACTTTTCCAAAATTTAAAAATACTAATCTTTGTTATTATTAATTTTTTTTTTCGTTATTCAAATCCTTCTATACCTAACGCTTTAACTCAAAACTCAACTTTAACTTAAACGCTTTAACTCAAAAAGTTTAGAAATCTTTATTTTATTAATTTATCTTTATTTTATTGAGAAAAGAAAGGGAATATTGCAATTCCTGGATCACGAATGTTACTTCATAACAGTCCTTGATTGCTATACGCATAAATTATTAATATACTAATTCTAGAAATAACCCTTTCCCATCTAGACTTATTTAATTCATAAAGATTGTTTAGAAAGATAAAAAAACTAAATTATTTAATCAAATATTATTTTTAATAATAATATTTAATTATTATAAAAATATTTGATTAATATTAAATTAATAAAATATTTTTATGTAATTTTATTAAGAAAATGAACTTTAAGCCTCAAGGTTTAATTATGCATTTATTTTACTGAATTTCGGTTACATTATTTTATTTTAAAAAGTACAGTAATACCTCGCATAGTTCGGTTTCGTTAGTCAGGAATCTATATAATCCGAGAGGAAATTTTGAAAACAAGTTCAGTTTTTAATTCACTAAAATACAAATTAAATCTAAAAAAATAATATAATTTTTTTTTTAATTTATGAATGATTGATCCCCCCCCCTCCCATTTATACAGCCAAGGCTATTTTTGTGTGTTCCCCATTACCCGGATTTAAAATTACCCTATAAGGATTTTAAGTTTTACTAACGTTTATTTTATTTTTTAAATTTTACTGTCCTTTATTATTTTCCACTTCCGGCCAGAATAAACGCGGTTAGTTTTAGTATACAAATTGAGCTTGCAAACTGTTAAGTATTTAACTTGTGGCTTTTAAGCCAAGAAGAAGTTAGCTCGCCACTTTATTTCACGCGAGCTTTTCAGTCAATTGCTGTCCGCCTTTAAGGCCAGAAATTTAGTCATCTTGATATTGAAGAAGTATTGTAGTTTTCTCGCATTTTGCGTAATATACATACGTTTAAAGATCTAAAACGCAAAATTTAGTGTTACTAGTCTTTGTAAAGTATTTGAGTTTAGCTCTTATTTAAATTTAGTTAGTTTGTAGTTCTGATTTTTTTACGTTCAGAAGAATTATTTTTTTTACGTTCAGAAAAATTTTTTTTTTACGTTCAGTTTTTTTATTTTTTTTACGTTACGTTAAGTTAGCACTTCGTAACCCGAAGTGCGGAAGCAGCTGTAAACTGTGAAGAATAAAGGGTTATTAAACCCTTCCCATCTTTGTCATATCTTCTACAATTTCATTGAACATAGTTTAAAGTAAACTCACTGTTCTACTCAGGACACTCACATGTTCGCCAAACAGATTAGAAGAAACAGTAGTCCTGATAACCCTAAAGGATGCATTTTTCTAGCATTCCTTGTTGTGTATGCACGTATGTTCGGAAAGTTCACTCTTAAGCCTACAAAAGAATTCGTAGCTGAAATTCCATAAAAAATTATTGCAACTGTTGAAGTATTGTCAAAGCATATTATACGTTGATCTCAATACTGAACGTAGCGTTACGATTCTCCAGCTTTCCAATACGCTGGACGATAAAGAATGCAATTCGTTACCACGAAGGAATGTCTGAAAAGGAAAGCCCAAAGAAATGTGTGGATTTTGCTATTACAATTTTTAGAGAATGAAAAATGAATCACAAAAAGCACTCAGAATTATTCATAGTAGACATTTGAAGTCTACTAGGAATAATTATATATAAAATATGTCATAAGTACTTATGACATCAAATATGTCATTTATATGTACTGAATTTTTAATAATGGCGTATTACTTGTATTTATTGATGAACTAGTAGAAAATTATTATTCACTCATCCAATTATTGTTTATATGTACTTAATTCGACGATTAGTCCAGGATATTAGCAGAAATTATTATTTCGATTATGCAAGTTATTGCTATAAAGATATGTTTTTAAAGACTGTATTCTTAAATTTATTTTTCACTGAAAGCATGTCTTAGTTTTGCTTTAATTAAAAGAATTTAACAATAAGTAAAACATAATAGAAAAAAAATATCACATATAAAAGAAATATAACATAAAAGAACATATAAAAGAAAAAAATATCTGAAAAGCTTTCAGATTTTATGTTACATCCAAACAGGCGTTTTGCCAACGTTTTGTGTGTTACCTTTATTTAAAAATATGTTCTTCGCACTTAAACCATGTAAAATTCAATTCAACAGCAATATCAGAAATTATTTAAAGACAGCCTATCTTTAGAATTTTTGATAGACAATCTCACGCGCTGGAGATACAAATGTTTTTTCCCTTACAGCGTTGCTATTGCTCGCTTTGAAATCGTTGAGTTTGTAGAGTTCCTCACTGTATAATTCTAAGTTACTGTTAAAAGTGAAGAATCTTATAAACTGATAAGCGAATAATCGCTTGAGTTCGTGTGATAAGAAACAAGAAGATAGAAGGGTAAACTATAACCCTTTATTATTCCAACTAAAATTTAACAAAACTCCGTCTTGTACAATAAAGCCGACACTTCGGCTTTGAACTTAAGGGACTAAGAATAAAACTAAACTAATCTAAACTAAAGAGGTATAGCGGAAAATATCAAAATTCTAGCAGAGTTGGCCCCTTAATGTTACTAGACTGCGAAGCTATCAAGGGCCCAAAGTACGGCCGAGCGTGATAATAGCTTACAAGAGAGTAGCCTAAAAAAGGCGGACGCGTGCAGACCTGGTATCTCTCTCTCTCTCTCTCTAAGAGACATGGTATCTCTATCTCTAAGACCGAAGAACTTCGCGGATACCTCTCTTCCTCATTATGTATTCAGACGTGGTTCTAAAACTACGTTCTGGCCGGAAGTAGTAAGTTGAAGTTAAGAATCGATAGGAAAGGAACTTTAAGTCAAAATTTAACTGTTAATAAAATTAACATAATCCTTACAAGCTTCTTAATTAAAAACTGAAAGTTTTACAAAATGTGAAATAGATAATAAAACAAATTCGAAATTCAAAATTCGAGCTTCCAGGTGCCAATGTTCGGGTGAAGGATTACGCTATTCAAAATTCGACGGCTCTAGGTCCTGTCGTTTTTTCACGATGCGAGAAACATACATACATTCATGGACAATCTCCAATTTCTTTTAAAATAATACAGGGTGGTAATATTTGGTAGCAACAGTTTCAAAAGTGATTCAGCCTTTTACAGTGATTCCCGTTTCGTGACAAATAGCCCCTTCTGAGCTAACGCTCTTTAGGTTATAAATCTGCTTTTCTTCCTTTTAGCATTATTTCTAAGTCAAGGATTCGAGAGGAAAAGCAATTTGAGATTCGGATGCTAAAAATATAGTGTTCTGCCGGTGGAGGTTCTGAGTCAACCTGTTAGTTTAAACTGAAGTGTAAAAAGTCTTGTCAAAGTCCTGTACAACACTTTGACCTTTAAATTTAGTGTTACGTTATCTTTTAAGTTCTCACTTTTAAGTGGTTGATGACTGCAAGCACGTGAGTCCGTGCCGTCTGTAAAATTTTGTATTTAACAAAAGGGTCTTTTACACCCTTCCGCTATTGTGTCTTTGCGGGTATTCGCTAAGATTAACACTAAAATAGAACTAGTTACATTGGATGACAGCGAAAAAGGACTAGATCTCACAGTAGTATAATAATGACATGTATGCCAAAACTTCCTATAGTTTTGGCATACATGCCTACTTATTTTTAGAGAGATTCTCACCAATATACCTCTGCCAAAGTAGCCTATTTCAAATTAGAAAGCGGCGATTAAATAAGAGAGAAGCACATAAATTTATAAATTTGACTTACTGTTGGGAGTGACGTGGCCATTTGGCCCAGGCTGTTCTCGATGTAGATCAGTTCCTCTTGGCTAATGGTTGGATGTGTGGAGGGTCTCTCGAAGGTGAACCACATCCAGAAGATGTACCAAATCAAGCCAAAGACACCTAAAATCCAAAGAAATATTGTGCATTTTTTTATTGTAATTTGCATTTTAAATTAATTATGTTAAAATATATGTATGTATATATACACACATTACGAATATGTGTACGCTTTAGCGGATATTAATATAATTTATGCTGATTAATCCATTTTATAATGAACTAAATCAATACTTTCCAACTCTACCGTGGTTAACATTTAAAGCATAAACCATCAACCAGCGCTTCTCTGATGGCATGGTGGCTTTGTAAAATCATTAGGTTCACCGAAGCAGGAAACATGAAAAATATACAATATTCTCTCTGGGAGTGAAAACGTTTCTCTGGGAGGGAAAAACTCTGGGACCCTCCTAGTCGACGTATTTAGGACCATAAGGCACATTTACCGCAAATACCTCACACATTCTTCTCCATCCAAATGGCGGGTGGGGTGGCGAGGACCCAACCGCCAAATCCTGATGGGGATGACCGCATTTTAGTTCAGGCGCCACTGTAGAATCATTAGGTTGTAGAAGCAAGATCCTTCTAATAGCAAGTTGGACGTGCTTTTAAATCCAGTAGAGTAGCACGTGGTAAGGAGGGAGAAGATATCCTACAGCTTTCACACAATCATGTTTTGTATGCATCATCTTAATGGCCTTTGAAAAACTTCTAACATCTCTCGGAAGTTGCAGTGTGTGTCAGACATTCCACTCTGTGTACTGCTTGCATATTTTAGAGGATATCGGTAAGCTGAGCATCTTCATTCAGTAACAATTATACAGACTTCATTAAGAATCCGTGATGATAAGCGTGTCAGAAAATGTGGCTATTTAACTCACTTACATACTACAAAATATCTTCTTGTCTATCGTAAAACGTTCCTAAGACATTCGCGATTGCAATGTAATATTATCATTATGTTTAACACTTGTGTAAGTTTCACAACTCTTATGAGATTTCATAACGTTTAATTTATTGACCTTTAAACCACTTGCCTGATAGTAAAGAACGGAAGAAAAAAAAACATCTAACTGTCAATCATAAAAGTGGCATTTAATTATCAAGTTTGAATTCTTTTTTCTTCTTATCTTTTCTACATATTTTGAATTTATATCCATACATGTATCTGAAGGGTTAAAATGATGATACAAACCCGCGCATAAACATATTACCCTCACTCACAAAATGTCCAATTTAGCGTTAGAACGTGGTAAAATCCTTGAAAGCTTAAGCATTACTTTTAGCGTTCAATAGCTTCGTTCGGTTTATGTTAATTAACCCATTTTATTATGAGTTAGATCAACACTTTCACTTTTCTATTTCATTAACCCTTACCAGGCTGCAAGTGAATTAGCGTGTTTAAAGCATAGTTCTTGAAAGTTTGAGGATATAGATTCTATTCCCGACTGCCAGCGACGCTCGCCAATTGTAGTTTCTGTTGTCACGCCCTGTTAAGTTAGCATTCCGACATTACCATTTTGCTAGCCGAAATAAGATCGCTCAATTACATTTGAGCCAACAATGGCGGAGATGAATTGTACGCACAGGTTGTGCATTTTGTTAAGTTCAAGTTTAAATAAAAAGGTTATTAAAAACCTTCTTAGGACACTGTAATATTTTCATAGACGGAGAGATAATTCGTTTGTCAAAATAAGCAAAGTGTAAAGGACATTAAGTTAAATTTACGCATGATATAACCCTAAAGCTAATGCTTAAACAAGCTGGTATGATTGTTCATTTCATGGTTTTTCCATAGAACCAAGGATAAACAATTTATAAAATATTTCACAATGTTCTTTCTTTTAATTGGAAATCCTCACAAGGTGTGTTTTCTTTAACACCAGGAGTGATTTTATAAAAAGCCACTGACATTAATTACAAAAGCCATACTGTATTAAAAAAGTATTACGATAAATAAAAATAGCCTGTGTTTTCAAGAATAACGTGAAACTTTTTTTTTTACTATTTGCATTTCCAGAGAACCAGAGGAATGACTTTACAAGAAAAAGCCGCATTTATACAGAAAAATTTTATAATAAAAATTCTCTGACTTTATAAAAAATAAGGGTAAATAAAATTATCCTGTTTTCTTCAGAATGATGCAAAATGTTTTTGCAATCAATATACCCGTAATGAGGCATATTAACAACTTTTAAGTGGGCAATCGTAAACAAAAATTGCCTATTTCCTTTAGAATGAAGCGAATTATTTTCGTAATCATCACCGACTTTTATAAGAAAACTATTTGGGTAAATGAACATCGTTTATTTTCAACAGAACGAAGCGAAAAGTTTCGCAATCATTGCATCCCTAGTCAATTTTTACCAGCTATTATCCATTTATATTATTAATGGATACATAGAAATAAACTGCAAAGTTCTGCATTTATCGAATTTTTATTGTTCTGATATGCATAAGATTTTAAATAAAACTTTAATTTTATAACCTACATATAATAAGTATGATCTTTAGATCATCAAAGAGAGCAAAATATTTTGACGATTTATTGTGATGTATGAAAAATATGAACAACGTTTTATGACCGGTTTAAAACAACTATACCATATGTATAGTTCAAACCAGCACGCGCACCTACGCACAGGAAGAGGCAAGCAAACGAGTATGTTCAAATTTCCTAACATAGCAAAAGACAGATTGATTGATAGAAGAAAATATCTGATTTTGCTGTTTATTCCTCTTGCTAGCAGATATTCGCAGATATAAGTACACAATATAGAAAGCGATTTGATTCTGCATATAAATGTGACATTTGAGGATCTTGTTTATACTGCAGTTATCTAACAAAGAAAATGAAAAAAAAAAAAAAAAAAAAAAAAAAAACCCATGCAGTCAAACCTCACGCAACTGGCCCCCAATTAACCGGTAAAAAATATTGGCATTTTTAAAGGTCTAAATTTAAATCGAAAACTTAAGCCTATGGGATAAAAAATATAGAATGTGCTAATAATCTGAGGACTTAAACGATGGAAATATTTGTACATGTTTTTCTGCAGCGTAACGGAAGAAGCCTAATCCAAACAATAAATGAAGGAATTATAAAATTAAAATAAGACTTGTTTTAATGTTTCTCCCCTGACTGATGACATTTATTAATGATTATTTAAATAAAATGCCAGGGGAAAAGATCAAGGAACTGGAACTTTTGAAGTCAAACGTCTCGTATCACATTTTTAGCGTAACTATGTTTCGTTCTTTGGCACCGAAATTCTACGTGCACCACTTTTTATAGTAATGTCTTAGTATAAAAGCTCCTTTAGGAAGCGACCATACCTTAGAGTCCTATACAAAGGTTTAAAAATTTACGTTTCGTAGTGTTTGATGAAAATTTACGCTCTTCAAGGATAAACTGATGAATTAACGTTTTGAAAATTAAGTCAAAGAGATGATATAGGAGTTTGTAGAGACATTACGTATACTTTTGGAAGCAGGAAAGATGAAAAACAGCAAATGCCTTTACCGGGAATCCAACCACGGACCTTTGGAATACCGGCCCAGCGTGCAGAACCACTACACATCGAAGGCACGCTAGGAAGGCCGGAGAAATACCTTATATACTCCACCCTTAAAGGGCGACTGAAGTTTTTAGGGGACCCAATCGCCAAATCCTGGGTGTGGAGAGTCACCATCCACAACCCTTTTAGTTCGGGAGGAACTGTAGAGATATTAGGATATATTTTTGAAGCAGGAAAGATGAAAAATAGCAAATGCCTTCGCCAGGAATCGAACCACGGACCTCTGGAATACCGGCACAGCGTGCAGAACCACTACACCACGAAAGCACGCTAGGAAGGCGGAAGAAATACCTTATAAGCTAATACAATTTTCAGATATGAATTTTGATAGAAAATCTTTGGAACACTTTTCCTGAGATATTTCAAGACGTAAACATTTCCCAAAAGAACACTTAACAATTTAAAATCATTTTTAGTTTAATAGTGGGACTCACTGCTTCTTTTAAATATTTCTTTAAAATTCTAGCTTAAATATACCGCTGTAAAGCCTCTTTTAGGAACAGAGGTGATCATAAATTTGATTCAAAAATTTTAATCTGGTTAAGACAATTTTACTCCAACTCCTTTTATTATTTCTTTGCTAAAATTTAATTCAAAATTTTATAATTAAATATCATATGTATTTTAATTACATATTATGAAATTCTAATTACGAAAATGTATGTTATTTATTTACCACTTTGCCAATTTCATGGAATAGATTCTAAGGAATTACTTTTTATTGAGAAAGTAAAAACGATTTTGAAGTCAGGTCCATATTAAAGCATTGCCGGTGTTCTATGGCAACCGACTGCCTGAAAGTATGCTCTCAATATATTATCTTTTAATTAACTTTTATTGCTGTTTTTGCAGTTGGTGGCAAGTTCATTAAGAATTCCTACAGTGAGAACCTTTTAATTTTTTTAGCTGATAGGTAGCTATGGCAACAGATTTGGATTTTCAATTTTAACGACAAAAAGACTTTGTTGTTTCCATGACAACTACAAATTTGTCGCTGGGATCAACTTTTTTTCGAGATTTCTTCGAAAGAGATTTAGCTTGGTGCCATCTCATAAAAGATAATTTTTGTCTCCAAATCCCTAAATAAAAGCTCCATTAAAAGCTGAAAGCATTAAAAAATTAGTTTTCCCGTCACTGATGATTTTTTTTGTTATGCCTTTAAACGATTCTGTAGTGAAAAAATTTATGTAAAAAGTCCTCTCAATTTCGCTTGCCCAAAATGGAAAAATGCATATTCAGTTAATCACAAATTTGTCGAGTCAAAATAAAAATATCTGACCTGTCAGAAAGTTAGCTATGGAAAAGGGAGAGAAAAAATCGATAATCATATCCAGAATTCATATATAAAATATGAAATTAGGTATATTGTCTGCTAATTAAAATAATATTTCAAATGTTCTAAAAATATCTGGGCAACACGGCAGGACACCAGATTTCAGAATTAAGTATGCACCTGTATCTACTGTCACATAAGTATAATATATAGTA